AAAATGAGTAAGGACATAATTGCTCTAAACAAAGAATTAGACTGCATGGGTTTAAAAGACATTTATAGGGTACTGAATCACAATAAAAGCCAAATACACCTATTTCTCAAGTGCACCTGGGTCATTCTCCAGGGCTGATCACAAAACAAACATCAAGTTCTGAAGTTTGAAATAATACCAAATTGAACTGCAAATCAACTACAAAAAGAAAACAAGTAAATACTCTAATATGTGGAAAATTACCAATATAATATTGAATAAGCACTGTGTTAATAAGAAAATAAAACATACCTCAAGAAAAATGATAATAAGGACATGACCTTTCAAAACTTACACTACAAAGAAATGGAGCTCTAAGATATAAGTATATAGTAATACAGGTCCACATAAAGAAACTAGAGAGACCCTAAATAAACAAACTTTAATCTTCTTTTAAGGAACTAGAAAAAGAACAAAGGCTAGTAGAAGGAAGAAAATACAAAAGTTAGACAAAAGTAAATAAAATATAAATAAAAAAACAGTTTAAAGGACTACTGAAACCAAAAACTAGTGCTTTGAAAAATAAATAAAATAGATATAACTCTAGATAGACACCCTAAGACAGGGGGAGAAAACTCAAATAGGATCAAAAATGAAGACATAGTTACAATAATATCATAGAATTCAGTGGGTTATAAGAGATTACTATGAACATTTATATGCAAACATATTCAACCTTGACAAGCTGGACAGATTCAGAGAATTACAGTTATCTAGGTATGAATAGGGAAGAAATAGTAAGCCTGAACAAATCAATCATATGCAAGGCTTTGAATTAGTAATCAGAACTCTCCCAAAATACAAAAGCACAAGACCAGATGTCTTCACAAGTTAGTTCTACCAGTCTTTAAAGACAAATTAATACCTACCCTGCTCAGATTCTTTCAAAAAATTCAGTTAGTGGGATTTTTTTTCAAACACATTTTATGATGCTAACATTACACTAATATCATAAGAAAGCACAAAGACAACTAGACAACTATAGTCAAATCTCCCTAATGAACACAGACACAAAAATCCTCAATAAAATCTTAGCAAACCAAATCCAAAAATACATTTAAAAGATTATACGCCACGACCAAGTGGGATTTAAACCAAAAGCACAATTAATCAC